CAGTTCTTCGGTATCTGATCAGGTTGCGCGCGCAGATCACTAGCGGCATGGCTGCGCTTCCGATTGGAAGCGTGGTCCGCGTAGCCAGAGATTCTCGCGCCAACCGCTACGCAGTGACGCGCTATTGCGATTGTGATCAACTCCTGGCCTCCGTCACCATGGCGCAGAAGTGCAGCGCTCGACGGAGTGCCTAGTATTTGTGACCATGTCTAATGTCCTACGGCAAGGGCCCTTCTACTCATGCGTATCGGTCCTGATGGCAGCGCGGCCACGTCTTGGGAACTCGCCGACGACGCACCAGACACTGGCCGATCACCACCGCGACTGGTCACAACATCGCCACTCTACAATGGGTGGCTATTGCGAACCAGTTAGGAGAAGAGGAGGAATGGGGAAACCAACGCGCGCCTTCACGGCGTGACCACACGGCGCGCCAGGTTAGCACAATGCCGCGGGCACTACGAACATTACGGGCTGTCGCCGACAGCCCCCGCAAGTCGCGGAGGGCAGCATGGCGACGTGCACTGGTTGCCGCTAGCGCTGCAACGTGGAAGGCCTACGGCCAGACCGAGCAAGACGACGCCTGTGCGCGCCATGTATGATAGCCATCGTGGCACGCATTATGAGCCGCGTGAAACGATTGTCCTGGTGACGGAATGCACGGGGGAGCGATCTCGCGACATTTGAGAGAGCTCCAGGATCCATTATTGCATCGTGGTTCTGATCTGTGGACAATGCATGGCGGGTATAATGCGTCGCCTATCTGCTACTGCATGGTATGATCCAGCTTACTACCTGGTCTACTGGGGGCCCAGGCTAGCTCGCATGCAAATGGCGACACCGAGCAGCATGCACTCTTGCTTCAGCCAGGCCAGCGGGGCCACCGCCTTCCTGCGCCAATAGGGATGTATATGCGCAGTACCTTGCCGACATACCTGTTTGAAGTTGTGCGCGTTTGCGTCTGCGTCGATCCACGATGCGTCCGGGTGTCTGAACAGATCTTTCTCTCGGACCCAGCATGCCAACGCGTAGTAGTTATACATACCCGCGCAACGTTGCGCGATGCATTGTGAACCTACTCGCCAGTGGGGGACTGCGCGCGCAGGATGCTCGTCTGGCCCAGCCGCTCGAAATTTGAAGCGCAGGGGTACAACGATGAACAATGTTGACTCGACGGCCATGGCATGCATGTGGTTCCTCTGTGCATGCGTTCCAGAAACAGACAGACCAGCGTCGAGAGAAATAGTGGCCGTGCCATCTCATTGCTTATCACGCGAACGCCAAAGACGGCACGGATCCCATTGCTGCGTTTGTTGCGCTGCTTCGACTGCGCTGCCGAGGCCGAGGATCCAATTTCATTATCTTGGGATCTTTTTCGCGCCCATCGTGCGGGCTCAGGACCCATTGTGTTCCGTCTGAGTTTGCGCCGCCAGTCATTCCAGGCCAATCGTCTTTCGCGTGCAACCTGCTGTCGTCTGCATTGTTCAATGGAGGAGTTCGAGATCCTTTGCTAGACCAGTTCTGAGCAGGGCCTTCTGATGGGGCTGCGCAGGTGGGGGGTTCTCGGAATCCAGACGGCGCGGCGACGTGCGCGCGCCGAGACTCGCCCTATTTGCTTGAGGCGCATTTTGCGAGCACTTGCGCTTGCTCGCCGCAGCTGCCGCAGCGCGTGGCAGACGTCGCAGGGGCGCCTGCCCGACTGCGCGGACGCGCGCGGGCAGGCGGGCCACGAAGCTGGTCATGGCGCGCGCCGGACTGGAATGCGCGGGCGGCGGACTTCGTCTGCGGGGCCCCCTGCAGTCCCTTGCGTTCTCCGGGGGCTGCCGCGTCTTAGCCGACATGGGAAACTCGACTCCTGCCCGCTCCTAGCGCTAGTGGAGCGCGGTGGGCTTGGCATCGCTCGGACGTGTGCATCTTTCTTTTCGGCGAGGACCATCGAGGAGCATCCTTGATCATTTGGCGAAAAATCCACGCCCGAAACCAAAAAATAACACAGGGAATGGACGTCCGAGCGATGGCCGGTGGGGCCCGCGTTCAAAGTGGGTTGCCGGCGTCTGGTTGCCGAATGGCGGTCGCCGGATGCAGGGGGCCCGCCGCGCGCCCGGGGGGGGGCCCCGCCTGCGCCGCTGCCGGGCGCGCGGGTGCGCGCGCGGGAGGGCGCCCGGTGACGTTGCGAGCGCGGCCGCCCTGCCCCCGTGGCCTCGGGCTGCGCCATTGGGGGGGTCGGTGGAGCTCCCTATGGGGCCACGAAGCGTGTGAGGAGTGCGCCGAAATGAGTGGCGGGGACGCATGCGGGCTGCGCCAGTGGGACCTTCGGTCGAGCTCCCCTGGGGCCACGAAGCGTCTTGAGGGGTGAGCCGAAATCAGCGGCGCGGACGCATGTGGGCTTCGCCATTGGGACCTTCGGTCGAGCTCCTCTGGGGGGCACGAAACCCCGGAGACGAGCGCCAGCCTAGCTGCCTAGCCGCTTCGCTCGGTTGCAGAGCAACCTTGCGTTCGGGGCAGGACGGCCAGTCGCGGCTGAATCGCGGCGGGCCTCGGCGGGCCAGGAACCATCGCCCGTTTCTTGTTATCGTAGCAGCGCGGTTCAGTATTAGGTCAAACACGAGTTGCAGAATATAGCAACGAGGAAGCGATGCGCTGCGTCTTTCTCCCCCTGGCTAAAAGGATATTGCAGGCGGGGGATAAGGCGAGCTTGCATGTGCGCATAGCGAGCGCATCCGCTGCCGCGTCCTGCTCTAGTTGCGCGCATCAGGAGATGACTACCGCATCATGTGCAGAACTATTTGCGCACGGAAGAGAAAGGATCGTTCTTTCTTTTCCTACATCCCACGCCGGAAGTATATCTTACCCGATTACACCGTTTACGATGCCGTGTATTTTTCCAGATAGCACCGTCTACGACGCCGATGCTACTGGAGCCTGCGGGCCCATTTTCGATTGGGAACGTCCAAATCCATCAAAATCCTAAAGACAATCAATAATATGTCCTTCTTGGGGCCTTCTTCGGGAGGGCTCCGGAAGGCCTCTTGGCGCGTCTGGGAGGCTTCGTGAGCCGTCTTGGACCCATCTTGGGTGTACTTGGGTGGTATTTGGGCGACTCGGGGCCCTGTTGGGCTGTCTTATAGGGATCCTGGGGCTCCTTGGGCCCCTCTTGAGGCCCTCTGAGACCCGAACCAGTCACGCGAAATGACTCGGGGGAGCTCCGGGGAACCGCGGGAAGCCCCGCCAAATTTAGGAATTTGGGTTTCGGGCCCTTGAAAGATTACTCCGAAGTGGAGACTGAGTGTCCAAGGATTAGCCAAAGGACCTGATGGCACGCCCACTCGGTGTCTAGAGGCACGGTGGCGGATAATGGGGCAAAGATAGCCTTTTCCAGACGGGAGAAAAATACCTGGAAGAAGAACCGCACTAAACCACTCTCGCCCGCTGGTGGGATTATCTGAAACCACTCGGGAACCATATGAGGGCCATGTCGTATGACCTTCGATACCATATTCTAGACATTTGGGGGTCTCTCTTTTGACGCCGTCTTAGATAACATCGATCGCATGAGTATGGTACCCCTGACGCCCTTTCCCTCTGGAACCCCGGAAGTGGTTTGTTGGGGCCCTCTTGGGGTGCTCTGGGGGCGCTTTTGGGAGCTCTGGGGGTTCTCTTGGGAGTCCACTGGGGAATTTTGGGAAGTCTCGAAGACCCTCTTGGGGCCATCTTGGCAAAATTCGATCAAGGAAAGGTATCCAATTAGCGTTGCCCTTCGATCGCGCCTACAGTCGCCTCTTGAGAACCTCTTGGGGTGATTCTGGGGCGTTGTTGGGTGCTCTTGGGGCCATTCTGGGGCCCTCTTGGGCCCCTTTTGGTGCCCTCTTGCAGCCACGTTGAGGCATCGGAGGACCATCGAAGACGGAAGGGTGAAGAGGCAACACACGTTGACTTTCCACAGGGTTTGGTAGAATATTGGCTTTTTGGGTGCTCTCGCCAACCTCGGATACAGATGTCCTGGAGAAGGTGTCATCGTGCTGCCCAGTTTCTGCGCGCACTTGCTACAGTGCATGGCCACATGCACTACTGGTATCGCCAACGCGCCATATTTGTTTGCACTGCGGCAGCCATTTTCGAGCGACCTTGTCGCCCCCCCCTGCGAGTGTGAAGCTAGCTTTCAAGGGACAAGCCAGGTGTTGCTACGGTCGCGATCCGCGGCCCTATCTGTTCAATCGGCGCGCAACCAGTGCGATAGTCGAAGCACCGCTGTGCCTGTCCGCCCTCTTGGGAAGGCACTTTTTCTTTATCTCTGACATCTTCCATCCTCTTCCCATTCATAATCGAGTTGCGTGGGCACGTATTCTTCATAGAGATGACCCAGATGATGATGCTGATTATGATCAGTATGATGATGATGATGATGATGATGATGATGATGATGATGATGATGATGATGATGATGATGATGATGATGATGATGATGATCATGATGATGATGATGATCATGATGATGGTGATGTTGATGACGTCGACGCGACGATGATGGTGATGATGACCATGAAGACGACAATGGCGGAATCGATAACGACAACGATGACGGTGTTCATAATGTCGACCATGATCAAGTCAATGTTGACCAGCATGGTGATGTCGAGGTGTCTTCGTGATACGCAGAAAATCATTAGCATGATGCTGTTGACAACGTTGGTGACGCCGCTGATGACGACATTGATGGTGATGCGGTTGTTGATGTTTATTTGTGTTGTGATGGGGGTGGTGACTGGCGACGACGATTAATCAATGGTGACGACGACGGTAGCAGTGACGATGAAGATGGCAACGGGAGTGACCACATGGATGGGGTTTACGATGACGGTGACGGTGACGATGACGGCATTGTTGGTGGCGTCAGTCGGGATGACGACATTTTCGATGATGACAGCGACGGCGGCCAGGACAGCGGCGACGCCGTCGATGGACGACGTCGACGACGCCCGCCACGGCCATTTCCCGCGGAGGTCGCCGTGCGCAGCCTGGAGGCCGCTGGCGGCGACGTCGACGCCGCGGTGGACGTGGCGCTCGCGGCGTCCCGGCGCCGGTTCTCGAGGTCGCTGGCGCTCTGCCCCGCGGCGGTCGTCGACCTGGAGGCTGGCGGCCTGGCGACCGAAGGGGATGACTCGCAGTATCGGTTGTCCGCTGCCTGTCCTCACCACCATCCTCATCCAGACCCCCACCATCTCAGCACCCCAGTTTGGGATGTGTACCCCTCGAAGCCTGGAGGCTCGGAGGCATGTCTCCGAACGCCGCACCAAGGCCCAAACAACGCTCGAAAGACAAGTTAAGGCTTCTGCGCCTAACCCCGTTCGCATCAGCGGGCGCGCGGTCCAGACGCCCCCCTCATAAAATTCTGAACGGGCTTTCGCTTGCGGGGCGTGGGCCCTGGGGTGATCCACTCCCACAGTTCGGATTTTATGAGGGCGGTGTTGACAAGGACCGGGGCGGGTAAAGCAAACCCCGGGTTTGGGCCCGGTCCGGGCCGGGTCCGGGCCGGGTCCGGGCCGGGTCCGGGCCGGGACGCCGGGTCCGGGCCGGGTCCAGGCCGGGTCCGGGTCTGGGCCGGGTCCGGGCCGGGGCCGGGTCCGGGTCCGGGCCGAGTCCGGGCCGGGTCCGGGGCCGGGTCCGGGCCGGGTCCGGGCCGGGTCCGGGTTTGGGCCGGGTCAGGGCCGGGTCCGGGCCGGGTCCGGGCGGGTCCGGGCCGGGTCCGGGCTGGGTCCGGGTCCGGGCCGTGTCCGGGCCGGGTCTGGGCTGGGTCCGGGCCGGGTCCGGGCCGGGTCCGGGCCGGGTCTGGGTCTGGGCCGGTTCCGGGCCGGCTTTGGGCCGGGTCCAGGTCCGGGCCCTGGAAGACACGGCTAAGATTTTTAGCCGCGTTTAGCCGGGACGTTGCTCTCGCCTGAGCGCGGTGCGAAAATGTTTAAGATCATAAGTTCTAGCCGGGTTTAGCCGCGCATGCTTTTCGCTTAGGCGTGGCTTACGTATGGTTAAACATGTCCAAAACATTATACATGTCTAAACAATGTCGTGTCTAAAAACATCGTGTCTAAACATGGCTACTCGTGGCTAAAATCGATGTATTGCCGTGGATATTTCGTGGCTCATCGTGGCTAATTCACAGCCGCGACCCAGACGAGGGAAACGCTAAACATCGTTGCACGCACGATCAGGCAAGTTGCCCCACAGAAGACACACCCGCATCGCGCCAGGAGGAGGAAGCGGAGGAGGGGGACGGAGAAGGAGCAAGAAGAGGAAGAGGGTGCGGGAGGAAATTGGACACGATGATGTCGAGCATAACGACTACGACGACGATGGAGAGGAATACGACGAATACGAAAACCAATGCGACGACGACGACGGCGGCGGCGAGGACGACGACGAGAACGACGACGAGGACGACGACGACGACGGCAGAAGGCAACCACCAAGGCAACCGCTTCCGATGGTTCCTTGAGGCTTCAAAATGACTCCAAGATTGCCCAAGAGGTGCCCAGGAAGGCCCCAACACGGCCCCAATAACGCCCAAGACCGCCCCAAAAACGCCCCAATAGGGCGCCAAGAAGCAAATGTCGGGCTCCCGAGGGGGAGGGGAAACCGCGACCCCCTACCTCTGATGATCGATGGCCTCCAAGATGGCCCCATGCTCCGAAGAAGGCCCCAACAGGGCCCCAAGAGAGCCCCAATAAGGTCCCAAGAGAACCCCAAGAGGGCCCAAGAGGCTTCCAAACTGGCCTGCAGAGGGCCCCCCGATGGCCCCAAGAAGCCTCCAACACAATCCTTTAGCGAAAGACTTGCAAAGACCTCGTGGTTGACTCCTGACATCGTCGTCGTCGTAGCAGTCGCCGCCGCCGCGTCGGCCGCCGCCGCCAGCGCCGTCGTCGTCTTCGTCGTCGTCTTCGTCATCGTTCTTGCTGTTGTTCGTCTTATTGTTCTCTTTCGTTTTACGATTATTATTATTTAATCGCTTCGCTCACTCCGCCGGCCCATAATGTCGGACCATGGTCGCCTGTCCGAGTGGTCGTTTGCAGTGTGGAGCTGCGGCGTCGGGAGCTGTGTAGTTGTCGATAAAGTTGTTAATGTTTTTTTCGTGGGGCTTCTAGGTGTTTGCAGTTTTTTGACGGCTTTGGTGCCATCGTGGGGGCGTGTTACCCGTGGTATCCCGCTGTAGGGCCGTTCGAGCCGGGGGAAGAGACATCTTATGCGATAGGGGAACCCTCGTGTCGGAGGGTGGCGGGCTGTGAATGCTAATTAACATTGGCTCTGTTATCGTCCTGATGTCCTCTGGCGTTGCGGACACGGGCGTGAAGGAACACTTTCTTGTGGCGTTTCTCTTACCATCTCTTTTCTAATTGGACCGGAGAAGGAGGAGGAGGACGAGGAGGAGGAGGAGGAGGAAGAGGAGGAGGAGGAGGAGGAGGAGGAAGGAGGAGGGGGATGAGGAGCGATGAGGAGCGCCTTTGTCGTCGTCGTCGCCCGCCGCCGCCGCCCGCCGGCGTCGTCGTCGTCGTGGAGGCTGGAGGCCGAACGCGGGGGAGGAGGACCACCCCGACCCGCGTGTCCCAAGTCGCGTCTGGCTGGAGTCTTGGAGGCGTCCTGGGGGCCTCCTGAGAGTTTTTTGGAGGCCTCCAGAGGACCTTTTGGAGGCCTCTTGAGGCCTCTTGAGGGCCTCTTGGGGGCCTCTTGGGGCCTTTGAGGGCGTCTTGGGGCCTCCCGGGGGCTTCTAAGGGCCGAGAGCTCGAAATTCTGTTTCGTGAACCCCCTCTTGGGGCGTTCTTGAAGCGTTCTTGGGGCCCTCTTGGGCCGTCTTGGAGGCCTCTTGGGCCGTCTTGGAGCCGGTTTGGGCCATCTTGGAGCCTTCTTGGGGGCCTCTTGGGCCCTCTTGGGGCGATCTTGGAGGCCTCTTGAGCCGTTTACGGGCGTCGGGGAACCGAAAAGGTTGAAACGCCCAAATCTGTCCAAAACCTATGGACAAGCATTGTTTGTTTGCCTCTTGGGGCCCTCTTGGGAATGCACTTGGAGACGACCTGGGGATCTTGGAGGCTTCTTGGGTCATCTTGGAGACGTCTTGGGCCGTCTGGAGGCTATCTTGGGCGTCGTGGAGCGATATTCGGGCGTCTCGGACCTCTCTTGGACCGTGTTGGAGGCGTTCTTGGGGCCCTCTTGGGCCGTCCTGGAGGCCTCTGGGGCCGTCTTGGAGCCGTCTTGGGCCGTCTTGGGGCCCTCTTGGGGGCCTCTTGACTTTAAGGGTAGCTCTTTGGGAGATGTTATAGAGGATCGGGAGTATAGCCCGCGCGCCGTTGCCTTTGGCTCAAGGCACGCGCGCCCTATTCGCCCGGACACTGCGTGTGTTCGCGATGTGCTGGAAAGATCATCACATCGATCTTATCCTATCTTACCCGTCCACTCCCCATACTGAACCAACACAGCATGGCATTGAACGTTATTTGACTTACCATAGTCATTTCAGACTTGGTAGCGGAGCTGGCCGCACTCTCGTGTGGTCAGCTCTTGCTCTTCTTATCCTCACGCTATCCGGCACGATCTTCGTGACCAACTACCACCCTGCGCCACCACTCCAATTACATTTACGAGGATCAATTCAAGAGCAAGCAGCAACACGAGAGGTACGACGTCTAGACAACAACATTGGTACCATATACGCTTCATCACTACGCTATTACCAACCGCTCGGCAACGAGCCAAAAGCGCAGCACTTGAAGCAGAGGCGGGGAGACCCGCAAGATAAAGCGCCTCGTAGACTTGACAAGGCGCTACAAGCCCTACCCCAGCGCGGCAACGCGCCTGATAACCACCCATATCTTCACAGCCTTGGGTTGGTTATCTTCGCCATCATATGGCTTGCGCTGGGGGCAACAATCGGACACATGCGCCGAGGAGACAACAGCACAGATGGGCAAGCACATGGCCCATACTGGGAGCCTCAAGGCAACGTACATTTCCGCGAATACGTTTATGAGGTCAACGCGTGGCTTAACGTCGCAAGCGGACGCATGACGCCACAGGCCCAAGCAGCCGCCATGCAACGCGGCCTGGGTGGCCTAGCGTATGAGGGTACCACCTGACATTATAAACTATGGTGCGGACATCGATGGTGTCCACACCGACCCAGTAACCTACATTAGGTTCCTCTTAAGCATGAAGTTCGAACGCCTGGAAGATGAGCGCCAGCTCACTTCAGGCACACAGCTCATCGACTTTCATGTGCCTCACGGAGAACGAATCGATGTAACCCTCACCCGGTTCGAGATGGCCCGTCTTGAGGCACAGTCGGTGGGGCTTGATCTTCCCAACTTCCAACTGCTCACTACTTTCCTATTCCGCGCCCTAGGCGTTGGCAACCAGCGAGCCATGCAACTCTTACAGCCACTCAACCACCAAATGCCCCGAACACAACAACAATATGATGAGTTGTGTGAGAGGATGCGTTCGATAGGCCATTTGTCAGAACGGTCTCCTGGTAACATAGGATCAGTGTTTGGAAGTGGAAGGGGAACTGGCAGTGGCAATTTCTATATTACCTGAACCACTGAAGCTCAGCCTGGCAACGGGCCCTCAAGCATATGGGCCGACGATCATGGAGAATCTACTGCCCTACTAACAGGGGATCGATCACAACCAAGCTGGGCAACCAGCCCTCCTCCTAGAGAACCTCAACCACACCGTTCCCTATGGGGTGAGGCGAATCCCCTGACGGTATATCCACCTACCTAGGTAATGGCGACTTCGACTCCGGCACCGACACCGATGCCATATCATCAGATGGTATCGAACCTTTAGATTGGTCGGATATCATGCAAATGGAAGGGGGCAATCAGCGCGCCGAACACCTGTTCTGGTTATTACAACAGGCAAAGCGGAGGTGGAGGAGGTTCACACGAAAACCGGCGCGTCGTGTTAGGAGGAGGATACGGAGGAGCTTCAAAGGAAGAGGTGAAGGCAGACGGGGTCGCCGTAGGTTGAATGGACGCGGCATCTCGGCTTTTCTCCAGAGGCTTTCATATGATCAGTATGATGGGATATTTTTCGGGGGGGAAGGCCGTGGAAAAGGCCGTAGAGATACCTCGGGCAAAGGTAA